TCGGTCTGGCCACGGATGGGTCCTTGTGGAGTCTGAGCTAGGACAGTTGGGGTGACAGGGTAGCAGTCACACATAGGAATGGTGTAGACCTTACTGCGGAACTGTGAACTGGTAAACTTGCGGAGCTGACAGAAAAGGTCTTTATCGATGCCGATCACAAGATACTTGTCGCGGGCTTTCAGTTTGTCTTTGTCACCTTTGATGAAAACAAGGTCACCAACAAGGACAGTGGGGATGGAGGCTTTGGTAAAGCCATGGGCCTTGGACTTAGCACTCGGCATGTGATTCTGCTGGCGGGAAAAGTTTTGACTGAGGATAATCTGGCGGTCGACAATTGGAAGCTGCGCACCAGTGAGCTGGTCGCGTTGCGTCCACAACTCAAGAGCTGAGAGGCCATCACGGCGGATGCGGGAGTTCATATTGGCCGTTGCTAAGGACAGCGTAGTTTGAGAGACGGGGCCTCCCTCAGGAGACAAGTTGAGGATCTCCAAGCCTAGCTCTTCGATTGCGCGCTCAGCCACAGGATTCTTGTTAGGGTTTTTGGGCCTACCAACCTCCAGGGTGATCCCATAAGAGAGGAGTACTCTGTCTTTGGCAAGGGCGGAGAAGCCAGGGGCAGGATCAACGCGGACGATCACCCCTCCGTCGCGAAGAGAACGGAGCTGAGAGCAGAGCATGATGATGGCATTGCGGAGGTCTTCGAGTTTTTCACTCGCGATGAAGGAAGACACGGTGTACGAAGACAATGTTTCCCTTAGAACCATGATCAGTTGACGATGACGCTTAGCGACATCAGCTGCAAATGATACGCCAATGGTAGGAGGAGCATCGGCAGATGACTGCGGGTGCAGGTGTTTAGGGATAGTCTTCAGAGATTGACAGGTGTGACAGCAGGAAGAGACAGTCTCAATTGCTTTGTCAAGGTCCAGAGCAAAGAAGTACCTGCTAAAAAGGCGCTTGGTTTGGTACTTGGAAGGATGACTGAAACGGATGTGAAGGGCTGTCAGGAGTCCATCAAGAACAGTGCGAGAGACAACACTGCGATCGCGAGGGGGCTGGAAAGGCGGGTGGTCTTAGACAACGAGAAGACCATCAGTGGCGATGACGACGTCCTGAAGATAGCGTTTGACATCAATTATTTTGGTAGCCTTCTTTGAAGGTCGGGTACCTTGACTGAGGTGAGAATGGGTTCGCCGGAGGTGAGGGCATTCCAGCTGGGTAGCTTGCCATGCGGCGCGGCTGGTGAAGGGCATTCGAACAGAACCCTCTAGGACTTCGCTCACGGAGATGCTGCGCACAACAGAATCTTCCAACTCCGCAATAAAGCGACAAATCTGACAGCTGGAGTCCAAGCATTCTCTTGGGTGCCTGCTGGCGAAGTCTGAGGGAGGTTTTCAACACCTGCAATGTGGCGCACAAGGACAGAATAGCGGCTGACTGTAGACAGGAAGGTGGTAACTCTGGAGCTGGCTGAGAACTCTCCTCTCCTAAGCTTATCGTAGGCTTGGACACAAGGCCTACTGTCCGTCAGAACTTCGGTTGTATGGGATGACTGGATAATGTAAGGGCGAAGTGCTTGATGGAGGAGGCTATGGCCAGAGCTTCGATCTCACACGGTAGCCAGGTCACTTGATGCTTTCGCAGTTTCGCGCTGAAAAAACCAGCCAACAGCAGTTTACCGTTCCGGTGGGTGTAGAGTGTGGCTGCGATGCCTCTATTCTTCACAGAACCATCTGTCACGATCCACAAAGCGTCGCGGGGTTGGGGGATTGTGATGGTCTTGTGGTTTTCCAAGGCATGTTGGGCGGACTTGAAAGACAGGAGTAACTCATCGGACCACACTAGTCTTTCTCGAGATTCCTTTCCAGCGGTGGCCTGATCCAAGGGGTCCAGCAATTCAGCGAACTTAGGGAGTACTCGGCTGAGCACCTTGTATGCACCAACGAAAGATCGTAGGCCTTGAACAGTAGTAGGAGGGTCAACAGAGGATAATGCGGCTAACTTGTGGGGGCTAGCCTGTAGGGTGCCATTAGACCATACCCAACCCAACACGGTGGCCTTTCTGGGACAGATGAGTGTTTTGGGCGCGGAGAGACGAAGATTGTTGCGTTGAAGCAAGGAAAGAACGCGCCGCCAATTATGAAGGACATCTGTAGGGTTGCTCCCACCAACGTACAGGTCATCAGCAATTTTGGCAACACAACCCTCTTGAATTAGGTCACCCAGAACTCGAGACATTAGCTCCTCGAGGCATGTTTCCGACCCAGGCATGCCCATAGCAGAGCGGGTATAAACACGGATGCCTTTAAAGGGGTGTGGCTACCCCACAGTACTTCGTGGAAGAGTGAGCCAGTGGAATTTGATAGAACGACTTTAACAAGTCCGAGATAACTATATACTCCCACTTCCCAATTTCACGCAGTACACCATCGACGTTAGGCATTAGAGAAGGCTGGGGCTTGCTATACTGGGCAACTTCGCCGAAGGATGTCACAAGTCTGCTACCCCCATTGGGTTTCTTAACAAGGAAGGAGGTATTCAAGTACTCAACGTGTACGTTCACCTGTTCAGGTCTGGCAAACACACCAGCCACTTCGAGCTCGTCAAATTTGGCTTGCAATTCCTCAAGGGTGCTTCTGTTGTACTGTGGGAGTCTGCCTTTACGCTGAGGGGGTGGGGGACCAATGTTGACAACAGCTTCAATGGTACCGCTAGCGCCGTTATATTTCGAGATAGTGGGGTTGAAAACATCATCAAACTCCAGATTCAGTGCTCTGAACTTGTCGCGAATGTCCTCGTCTAAGCAGCCATCGGGGTCAAGGATCACATTAGTGGAGAAGGGCTGGCAGCAGGTAGGGGCAGTAGTGGCTGTAGAGGTAGGGGCAGATGTGGTGTCTATCCTGTCAACAGGTATAACATGCCTTACATGACACAGCTGCTCGCCGGTCCGAAGAAGTATAGGAGAGTCAGTCGTATTGGTTATGCGTACAGCGTGGTCCACAGAGAGGACTTGTTGAGGTGGGGGCCATGCTCCTTCTGCCTTGAGGGGGGTGTTGGATGGACAGTCTAGTCGGGGTTCAAGGGCCCATAACGTATCTGGGTCAGAATCACAAGGGGTGTCAAGCTGAACGTACTCTCCTGGCAGTATAACTGTGCGTTGCGGGTTGCGTAGGAGAAAGGACTGGGTGCGTCGCACAGCTGGTTGAGTAGTGTGTTTGGAAGCAGTACCATAGTGGATTACGTCAGACCCGCCGATTACAATTTGGCGCCTGGCAGGACGGATGCCGATGTCGTTTCGGGCCAGGAAGGGGTTTCCCGCTAAAATGTCAACATCGAGTTGGCGAACAACTAGGGCGTCTAGTTTAAATGCTTGCTGTCCACGAGTGAGAGTGCAATGCACTTCACCCACCACATCCATAGGGGTAACTCCATCGGCTTGGCGGGCCATCTGAGAAGCTGGGGTAACAGGTAGGCCATATAACTTAGCGGCCGAGGCACGAACCATGTTAGACGTGGCGCCAGTATCAAGGGTGAGCTGCACGGGGTGCTCGTGGTAAAAGGTGTTGAGAACAGGTGATTGAATGATGCTGACACGGAGTGCAGTAGGTGCAGTAGGTACATCACTGTGCTCAGGCGGGAGGGCATGATCGCAACACTCATCATAAGGGCCACAGTCGCCGGTCGCAAACTCATCAGGATCGTCGTTTATAAGACGTGAGCGGGCCAATGGTCTCCTGTCACGATCAGGCAGGTAACGGCACTCCATTAGATCATGGGTGTTGTGAGGGCGTCCAGCGGTTTTGCAGAGAATACAAGATACAAATGGACGGCGGCGTGGTTGGCCCTGTCCGCCATTAGAGGTGCGTCTGGGGTTGACATTGCTAATACGCATGGCTTTGGTGTCCTCTATGGAGCGTAGTTCATCAAGGAGGAATTAAGTGCTTGTGAGATCTCTGGCTTGAGTGAGGCAAGGGTCTTGTTACGCAACTCAGAACCATACTTCTGCTTTACCAGTAATGGTAGGCCAGGGTGGATCAGCTGCAGCCACAGAACTACTATAGTGTTCTCGAGCGATGGGGAAAGATCTTCATCTGCGGTCACCTGCTCACCGTGGTGGGTTAAGCCACCATTAACTGCAAGGAGGTTGTCTTCGAAGAAGGCCATGAGGCGTTGGAATAAGTCCTCTGGTCGCTCAGCAGTTTGAAGGCTGATGCTTGCAAGGTCGAGGAAATGGGCTCCGGAGGACTGGAACCCAAAATGCTGGCGAATTTTCTGCCAAATGTCATTCAGAGAGGTAGAGTGCTTTACTATGGAGTTCCTGGAGATCACGGGGCAAAATTGGCAATCTGTCCGAGCAGAAGATCCAGGTGGGCATTTTTCTGAGCGGCAGTAAGTCGTTGTGCCTCAGGTACAGACGTGCCATCATTCGTAAGGCCTCTTCGAGGGTTGGCGGCGGTTTGTTTTTGCCATGTGGCCTCTAAAAATGGGACAAAGTTCTTGTCCAGGGATAAGATGTAGACTAAGTTTTGCCTCCAACTTTCGTACGAGGTGATGGTCTCGTTTTTCGTAAGCTGCCATTGTTTAGGCGCCCTGGGAGCGGCGGCCATGTTGGTTTTCCTACACGAGTGGTTACGGCGAATTCACGTTGATTTGTTGATCTTCGCACTTCGTGAAAATAAGGGTCACAGGTTCCAGACGACCACACTTGTGTTAGGGTCCACCGTACGTGGGTAAAAGCCGCTGCCACCACGCCAATAAGGAACAAACTGTGTCTTAACGAAGGTTTACTGAAGACCGAACGAGAACCGCCTGGAATTACAAAGATGAGCCACGGGCGCATGCGCGCGCTAGATACCGCTGAAAGTAACGCAATAACAACGTAGTGGCGCAGTGCATTTGTCAGTGATGTTGCGTGATGCAACACAATAATAAATTGTATCACCCCACCTTTTGTCATGCATGCTTTGAGATAGAGAATTACAAATCTATTTTGAATTGAATTACCTGATATTCTCAAAGAAGTTGGGAGGAACACATTGTTTCCAAGAATCCCAGTATGATATTCTCTTTCCAGTGACATCCACCACCTTAGGAGAGTATACTATACAATGTATTTAATTAACTTCACTCATCTGCATTACATGAATACCACTGACAGTTATAATATTAGCCTCTATAAATTGTTAGGTAGATGTACAATAATTATTGTTGACATTACCCCAAGAGCCCAATGTCCGGGAAGATGCACTGGGACCAATAGCACAGCTTTGTCAAATATGTCAATCTGAAGACAAAATATATGTCCAAAAAAATTTATAAGAATGTCACTTATGTGCTTTGCCAAAAAAGGAAAAAACAATACTGCCAACAGTTTGAAATACTGCACCTTTCTGGTCCATCTAGCCATCCACTTTGGCCCATGCTTTGATAGTTTTTCATAAAAAAATGTGTTAAAGCATTGAACCCTTGGGTGGCCTGTTGAAGACTGAGAGAAAAACTATCTGTGATCAGCATTCATGTTAGAAATAAGGAAAAATCTACCAGTTAATTCTTTTAATTGTCGCTGAGCCGCGTGTTCATAGTATATGCTGTCAAATATATTGTGGCAACCTAGTATTTTGCAATTTTTAATAATAATGATTGTTGCCTGCATAAGTGCATTTAATTTCTGGTCCTCTTACCTTGTTTCCTCTTTGATTAATAAGCTCCATATAAAAATTTATAATCTAAAATTGAAACAGAAAGAGAAATAAGTTACATATTTTAAAATACAAATTAATATATACTTCACTGAGTTTCTGTCAGCACCTGATCATTCAGCTGTTTTCCATCCTCCAGTCTGTTTAAATCATCCTGTGAGAGTTTAATGCCAAACTTCTCCACAATACTGGACTGTGTTGTCTTAGGAGTTGCTGATCTGATGGGGCAGTTTGGAACCTTTAAAGACAAAAGAGGGGGGGGCACACATAACGTGATGAATAAAATCTTGCATTGTATGTTATCATAGGTGTGTATACTATAATATTATTTGTAGCTGTTATTTGTATCATTTATTTCTCATAATTCCACTCTCCAATTGTATGTTATATAAATAAGATGCATTGCAGTCAGACAATGTACAATTATGTACAAAGTCCTCTGTCATTAATATAATCATTGCTATTGCTCACCTTGTTACTATCTTGGGGATGCTTACTACTCCAAGCAGGGGTGCGTGGGGACGGTACGAAGCTCAGCTATGTGATTCAAACAATGTTCCGTATCCTAAAAATCGGCAATACCTGGTGCATAATGTTCTTAAAGACCTTGACGAAAAAAAAAGATTTTTGATAGCTTCGTGACTTGAATTCAAGGATCGTGAGAGAAAGTGGGACGGAGGTTGGTGAAACCCTTGATTTCCTTCAATAATTCAGACACTAGATACATGTTAATTAATGAACACTTACCCACAGGCCAGATACTGGCCATCTGCAGATGCCGCCGAAGTAGTGGAATTTAGACACCCTTTATCTCTAAACTTGTGCACACAACTGCGTGTGTTCATATTCCACACATACACCTCTCCGTCGCCTGTCGGTACGGAAAATACATACACCGACAACCCTTCTACTAAATATACGTAGTACAAAAAACCTGCTTAGCCCAAGATGGCCAATGATTTTTATTCAAACTGATAAAAGTACATGAGCTGTACCTTCGGCAGTAAACGTGCGAGACCCATCAGCGTTGAATGCTACCGCGTCGACTGACCCATTCGTCTTAAGATTATCAACCCACTGTTTTGTCTGCAAAACGAAGCAAATAGAACAATTATAAACATTTACGTTAGCCCAGGTTTGAAACACCATGGTACAGCGGAAAGACTACAAAATTGCAATCAAAAGTAAAAACTATACGTTACTAACAAAGATTGTCACAAAGATGGCTAAACATATATGCATTTTTTGTTCTTTCGTTTTATTGACAGGAACGAAGTCCTGGAACATAAAGATGCCTAGCCGTTTTGATGGAGCATCGTTCATCACTTGATCGATAAAGATCGATAAAGAATTTATGAAAGGATCTTGAAAATGGCAGGTGGGCAAGTTGATCCTGATGATGAACTCGCCTGCTTGACTAGCAATGATCATAAACTTTTTACAGAAGTGACAACTTCGCTGTATTTCTTGTATCTTGATACGACAAACGATAAAACGCGTCTTCTAGTTTACAAGAAAATGAACATCATGACCCACGAACAATTAAGTGGGAAAAAAGAAGGGGACAAACAGGTCCAATGTCGGGTATAAGACCGAAGGTGAATGGCGTAACGTTGGCCGACTACAGAACTTAAGACGAACAGGAAGTCAGAACAGGGGGTTTACTTATAGTGATTAATTGGTGCATCGTATTCGCCTGCCCATAACGTCTCAGACGGTCTAAGGACTTTCGCTAGAAGAGGGAGATGGAACAAGCGACATTCATAGCATCCATAGCACAAAAATATCAATCGCCTTTTTGTTTTCAATTTTTTGTATTTTTGTTGGCTACAGAGACAAGACAAGATATACGATTGACTACTACTAAATATCTTCTGAAACGTGTAACTAAAAAACAGAGGAGTTGCTGTTAACCTGCTGCAGCGAACGATAGTATTACCTAGTAATAAACTAATTAAAATAGCATGTTTTGACGGCATCTTCAACTAACCTTGCTTGAAAGAAGAATTAAATACCCATTGCTGCCAAGAAACACGAGATGCTTGCCATCGGGGGAAACAACAAACTTATCAAAATGTTTTTCTTCTCTACCTGAAGTTGTATGAAACATAAAATGGAATTATGACGATCATCATCATCATCAGCAGCATTAGGGTTAGGGTTGGGTTCAGTGAAGTGAAGTGTCACTACTCAGATCTGCGTAGAACTTCTGATTGGTTAAAGCAAATTTCCCTCTCAGCACGGCCAATCAGAAGCACTACCCAGATCAGAGTAGAGCTACATCATCAGTATGAAATTTCTGCAGTTGTTCTCAAGACGTCACTTCACGAAGAAACCAGTGGTGGCATTGTGGAATATTGGCTGTTTTTTTAGTCTACAAGGAGTGTGGCGATTGACAGAGTCAAAGGTACACAACAGATGCTACTGCGCCATGAGCGGCAAAGGAAATCAGGTAGAGTAATAGAAAGGAGACCTTTATGAAACTTGATTGGATCACACTCGGACAGAGTCTGTCCTTAATGTCAGTAATGTAAGGGGAGACTCTGCTCACAGGATAGGATTGAAATGTTCTTTGATACATCTAGTAACTGAACAGTGGCATTAGCGGGATGACAAGCAGAGGAAAAAGAGACAGAAAGGCAGGCCCGGCCTGGAGATGAGCAAAGAAGCAAAAAGAAGAAAAGCAGGGTGGCACTTCAGCGACAAATATGCAAGAGCAGCAGCCAAAGATAGGGAACCCTGTTGGAACACAGGCACAGGCAAGTGGAGTGATGATGACGATGATGATCACGATGATCATGATCATGAAGTGGAGCTTTAAAATAGTTATAAGTAATAATAATAAAATAATTATTATTGATAATATATATCATAACAAAAATAATATACCTCTTATTCGAGGAATTTTAATTACACTTCCTTTGATCATGTCATAGACATAAAACGATCGTCTCTGCGAGGCTAAAATCACTTGTTCCCCGTCAGCAGTGAAGTGAGCTGTGTGGATGGGAAAACGTTCAAGAAAAATACTTTGAAGTTTTGGGTTGTTCTGCCCATCTATCTGTGGAAAGAAAGGAAGCAAGATCGTGCCAAATAATTTTGGTACGAATACATATCTCCCTACTGCTTACATATCTACATGTGGGCGAAAAACAGGGCAGCAAAATTGACTGTTAATGTTATTAAGAGAGGGCCTATCAGCGAATGCTTTAAAGGGTCCCTCTTAAAGGGTTGTCATGGTTACCACTTTAATGTGCCAGTGTTTATGGCCGTCAGCAGCACTCTATCTTGATGAAATCGTGCCCTGCTTTATCCTGACTGTGAATAGAGGCTGAGGTGAAAGCAATGCACTTATGTTTACACCCTCCAGCTTACTACCTGCCTACTATTTTCCCATTTTTCTCAAAAAAATTTTATCATTCAAGACTCAG